TACTTTGTTGACGATAGAAAAGAAAACATAGCAGAAGTTTCCTTCTACCTTTTGTTTCATTTATTACTATAAATTGGAAGTCTGACTTTGTTGTAGTGAAGATAAGCTTGCCAATCATAGCATGTTATTTATTATTGTTAGGATTTTTTCGGTAACTTTTTTCTCTGAAATTGATTGAAGATTTGACTACACGGACATTTTTTGCTGTCTCCTAGAAAAATCAGAATTTCTTTTTCTGTCGTTGCCGTTGTTTGTTTTTGCCATTGATTCATTCAAATGAGCCGAGTTTAGGCCACAACTGTGACTTTGCTTTGTTTTTCTCTTGTATTATTACGTTTTTTTTGGTTTAGTTCGTTTCTCGATAAGTTTTTTATTTCTGCGTTCACCCTGTTTGGTTTTTGTGTAGAAGCGTGTGTTTTTTATTCGTTTGCGATTTGTGTTTGTCACAAAGCCAAAAGAAACACGATTGTGTACAAATCGTAGCAAAGGTTTTGATCTCTATGCTAAATAAATCAAGAATTGATTTGAAACAGAAGAGAGCAAGAAGATAAATCGTGAATGGTTTTATGTGTGTATGTGTGTATATTTTTTATTTATTTCACGAATGTTAATCCTCGTTCGACAAAGACGATATAGCTAAAACCATATTGCATATGGTCGACCATCAATAAATTTTTCAATAAAACGCAATTTATTTTGTATGCTCAAAGCTCCAATATTACTACGATCAAACCGTGCTGATAAACACGCAACCAATCACATATTTTGCTCTCCACCACACTGCGTTTCTCTCTCTCCCTCCCTCTATATCGTTCATTTCGCTTTTGTCTCTATAAAGCCATCAAAAGGTGCAGATCAAACTAAAAGTTATTTAATGTTCGAGAGTGCGAGAACCAGTCATTCGATGAGAGCGCAGAGAGAAAAAAAAACGGAAGCCAGGAATAGATTGGTGTTTGCACTTGTATGCGAATGTGTACCAAATAAATAATGCTGAACCAAAATACAAAGTTGGGAGAAACATTGTGGTGTTTTTGCACTGGTTTTTATATTTATATATGTGTGTGTATGGAATCTTTGCCAGTCGCTGAATCTTAAGAAAGTCCAGCGCTTGCAAATGATGGCTGGGCTATGGGGTATTTACGATGCGAACATAAAATATTTGTTGTAAATGCGTGCACGGTTTGTAGATCTCTTGGAAGATTGATGTTTTTCCGTTAGAAGTCCATTCAGCATCGATGGCTTAGTACGGGCCGATTCGGTTCAGTTTTTGTGGTTGCATGGCCAATATGCTGAATACTATTTTCGAATCGAATACAAACATTGGTGTTGTGCACTACATGCCTATGTATGTTCTACGTTTTGCTTGTGCTTGTTTCCTCTGAACCGAAAACAATTGCGCTGTGGTAAGAATTCTTAATTCCACATCTTGATGACATATATTGAAAGCATTGCTTATGCCATCAAATGTCGTTTCATTGACAGTTTTTCTTTCACACTCTACCACTCGTAGTCGCCCACTTGCGATCCTGGTAGTTGTCACAGTACAACAGCAACAGGGAAAACTTTGCTGAAATTAATGATTGATTAAAGTGGGCCACGAAACAGAAAAATCCTTGCCAAACACGCAACAAACTTTTCATGTGTTACATGCACGTCATTAAACCAAATTTCCGCTATAATTTATGCTAAGTATATTCCAATCAATTTCAATTAATAGCATCAAAATTGAAATGGAATTCATTTGAAGGTTTTTTTTTGCTAGTGCGATTTTTTTCCCATTTTTTCTATTTTGTGAACATCACAACGTAGGCGTTATTGTAGTGTTTTGTTTTCGATGCCTCTTATTGAGTCTACAGGGTGAAATGCTTTCCGGAAAGTCAGCTGCAATTAAGATTGGCAGAAATAATCACGCGAAATTTCGAAACGTACATCAACAACCAACTGCTAATAATGATGAAGAATTATTGGAAAAAGAAAACAGAAAAAAGAGAAAGAAGAACTATGTCGTAGTCAGAGCAGAAAGCCCTCGTACCTACCACTTATGCCCCCGATGTTAATTGACATTCATATCGGAATCAGAAATCCATCGCATTATCGCGGTCATTGTTATTGATTTTGTCATCGGTAATATTTTATTGCCAACCATTCCATAAACCACATCCATCATTCGAATCAACAAATGAGAACAACAAAATGGGCAGACAAAAAAAGAGAGTAGGGGAGAGAGAGAGAGAGAGAGATTCGTGCTAAGCCCAGTGGCTCGTTTGAAATAGAGATGAAATCAACAACGACACGCATGTTCGCTTTCGGCAGAAAGGAGACAACGGATCGACAACAACAACGAATTAACTCTAACTAAAGTCCAAAAGAACTATAAAGATAAAGTATTGCGATATTCTTCGGGAGGGAAGTTAGCAGTTTGTTGATCACATATTCAATACGGTACAAAACTTCTGATATCGCATTTTTGTTTGTGGAATATTTTCGTAGCCATTTCAATTCAACGATTCATTTTATTTCTTTTCCACATAGACATTCAATCACATTACTCAAATATCCCAAATTCAAAGTTTTTGGAATTTTTTTTCCAGAAAAATTTCCATTTCAATATCACACATTACAGCTATTGATTGACGAATGTAGTTTGAGTTTTCACTATGGCAAAACATTCGGCACGTCGCAATTACGTGCACTTGTAATCATTTAGAAAATAGATGCACGATGAAAGTCAGGAACTGAAATATAAATGGTGCACTGTTGATTTTTCACCTCTAAAGACTAAAGCCAATACGTTGATTGACATTTATTGCATTTCAGTGGTTCGTGTAATGATATTTACACTTCGATAGTTTGAGAAATGCCATTTTTTTTGTCTTTGTGTGTGTATGCGAAATGTGTGCTCTTAATTGAGCAATGGGCCAATATATACTCTGGTGCAAATATTTGATATGCATTCGTGGGTGGCGAACTTATATAAATTACGTGTTGCCGCAGGGAATAAATATTTGATGCGAAATTCTTATGGTGTCGACATTCATTCGATTAATTTCGAGAAGAAGAAAAACATAACCGTTTTGCGCAAATTCCATGAAAATCGTGGACAGATTGAAATTTAATTTATTACATCCAATGCCAACGCGTTTGATGCGGTTTTCGGCAACATGGTTGCGGGTATAAATAAATCATCAACGTTTTTATAATTTCCACGAAAAATTCATTAGTTTTTCTTCTGACCAGAATATTTGTGCGCTTATTCTATCGGAATACATACGCATTGAATATCGTGGTTTTTTCGCGGTTTTTGTTGATTTCTATGGCTTTAAAATGAATACTACATGTAACATTTCAATGGACTTGTGCGTTGACCACTGATGAACTTTGTGCCAGCTGCTGAAAGTGTGTATGTGAGAGAGAGAGAGAGAGAGAGAGAGAGAGAGAGGACGAGCGAAAAAACGCCCATTAAAAATATGCGAACAAATGAAGCTCAATCAAATGCGAAAACAAACGCTACCCAATTCTATGTGTGCCAGTTGCTTCATTTTGGTATCTGCAAGTTTCTGTGTAGCGAGTTTTCATTTCCATGTATCGGTTTTGTTGAATGTAATTTACGCTATTATGATTCTTTTCCGTTTGAGTTCTATATTTTTTTCGTTTTTTCTTCTTTCTTTGTGGGGCAAGTTTCCATTTGCGTATCGCCGATTCGATGGAAATTCGTACGTGAAGTGCCACTCTGTGACCAAAGCGACAATGTTTGTTTGCAGTGAATTTTTACATAGAATAATTTGAGTTATGTGATTTGTATTCGAGTTGATGTGAGTAAAAGTTGATGTCGCAGCCTTGAGCAAATACACACATTTCGTGCGTATGTTACTCGTATGTAGAAGTCAACACATGATACTCCGAATCAATAAGTTATTTGAACACATGTACGCACTTTTTTCTACTCTTTTTCTCTGTCTTTTTTGCCACCACACACATACGGCAGTCGTGTGATAAAAGGACGGACAAACAATAATAAACAAGTGAACGTTTACTTCACGTTTTGTCGCATATTAATTTCGGTACAATTATAAAATTCTTGAATATTCATTGGCATTTGGTGTGTATTTGTGCACACGCGCGCGCTCGAAATTGAGCGAAAAACACACATGCACAAAACGTTTACGGATAATAAGCAGATACGGTGCTAATATCACGGTCGCAAACATTCGAATCTTCGAAAAAGAATGATTGAATTAATTACAAATTCTTCCCAGATTGGACAGCTCAGAATAAATCTTGCTCTTTTTTCGTTTTCATCTCTCTCTCTCTCTCTCCCTCTTCCTTTCTTTCTCTTTTGCTGTCACAACACTTTTCGCGTTCGCTCATCATTGTAATGATATAGTATGCAAAACGAATGTCAAATCGCATTTCAAACCAATGCCAATCAAAAGCGACGATGGTGAAATAGTTTTGATTCACGGGCAACAACACATGACTGAAGTGCATTGAGTGATGGATCAAATGGCAATTTCATTAAACACGGAATAAAATGAATCAACTCAAGAAACGAACATTAAAATGTAAAACCAGAAAATTGTGTAATCATTGGTCATTATCTATATATGCGCCGATACAAGTAACGTGCTGGTGTGAGTGAGACAAGGGATCAAGCAATTAAGTTGATATTGAATGTGCTTTTTCGTTTGTTAATTACATTCATTGGATCGCGCATGAAATGCAGAAAAAAAATCACATTCAAAAATGCACAATGTAACTGCACCTCAAAAACAACAACAATAACAATAACGATTACAACAACAAAATAACATCACGGTACACAGCACATATTCAATGTGACACTGTCGATAAAGTAAAAGGCAAAAAATTGCATCATGAGAAAGGTGCGTACAGTGAGGTAAAACAGTGTAATTGCGATAATATGTCGCTATCACCTATCTCACATGCATGTAAATATTAACTTACATTACTAATAATGCGTGCAAGGCATTGATACATACCAAAAAGATTTGGCGCTTTTTCAACTGCTCCCTAAAATGCAGCACGAGTCGTTCAAGAATTAAATGCGTTTCTGCATGAGCGATCAGCCACCGCTTTGTTTCTGGTTTATTATTGTCGTCTCTTCTGTATTTTGATACAATTTAGTCGGAGTTTCTTTTTTTCTTCACTTCAACAAAGCTATAATCACATGGTCAGTGTTACAAATTGGAACTTGAGCACTCATTGAGCTATTTTCTCACAACACATATACTCGTTGCCGAATTCAGTGTAAGTTAAATTTTTCGTTTTACTTTGCTCGATGTACTTGAAGTTGAAACCAGTCAATTACACGAAAGAAATCTACTTCCCATTTGAATACGAATTTCTAAATTGATGCTGCCCAGTGGTGGCGTAGAGTTTGATTGCATGTATTCATTTATCTGTATACTTTTTTCACTGTATTTTTTATTCTTGGCTTTCAAAATCATTTTTCTGTCATTATTCACACAAAATTATTTGGCGTTCACCAGCTGTACGACACATGCTTTCCGTCTCTGTTTTACACTAAATTTGCTTCATCATTTCCATTGTATTCGGCCGGAATGTATGCGTTCAGTTTATACTAATAAGAATATATTTTAAATTCATCATTGTTTGTGCAATTGCAAATACAGAAAATAAAATATCGACAAAAATTAATGTAAACGAAGCGAAAAAAAAGACACTCGCACACGGGGAATAAAGAAGAGCAATGTAAATAGAAACAGAACAAACTAAGTTGGTTGAAACAAACAATCGAATTTTTATTATTGAAAATAAAACACTTTTATTCACTGGAAGGCGACAATTTTTCTTTCTTCTTCTGTTCTTTCGTCAAAAAAAAGGTCCGATTTCCAAATTGAAAGAACAGAGAAATAAATAAAAGTCATACACACACACGCGCCGATTGAAAGCCAAGCCGAACAAACGGATTGACAGACAACAACAGTAACAGAACACAACAACGACAACAACGGTTTAACCGAAATAATAAAAACGGTCAAATTTACTCCGGAATAACTGGTATTTATTTGCGAATCGAAAAACGTTTATTCTTATCGAGTGGCACAAGAGAAATAATATCATCCAATTTGAACATATCGCACTCACAAAGATTTCCAAAGAGCCGAAAAGCAAGTGAGTGAGGGAGAAACGAGCTGGATGTGTATACACTGTGCGGTCCGCACGCGTTCGATCGTACGTTTCGTATACGGTTTGTGTATGTTCTCTCACCGTTGCACGCATCAACACTGAATTGTGTACTGTGGAATGCTTCGTGCTCAAAAACACCGAAACTTACTTGTCGCCGTCCTATATTATTGACGTCGCGTGAAATACTAACTGTGTATGAACAGCACGAGATGCTGCAAATCACACAAGCTGTGTGTATGCTATGCCGACCGAAGAAGAAATGTGTGTTCGTCTTTTCGTTCCTCTTTTTTGTTGGTTGCGGACGCTCTCTCCCTCTCACACACACACACACACAGTCATAGCGTACTGTGGCCGCTTGGGATTTCAACTCGTTTACCATTCACTTGAGCAACAATCCACAATTTTATTTCTGGATAAGTTCGATTTGTTTTGGGCTTTAGCAGTTTGTTTCAAGTTTCGGTTATTTTATCTTTATTTTGATATAATTTTTTTTCTTCTCTTTTGTTTTCGTTGCACAAGTGATGAAGCCACCTCATTCCGATGTAGTGAACTTGATGTTTATTTTCAATGTAATATTGTAATTATTCGACGGTTTGATACCTTATCAAATGAACGGGTAATTTCGAAAATTGATGAATGAAATTATATGTTGTGGTGGCGTACAGTGCCTCATGCTGCCAATAAATTGAGAACGTTCAAGCGGCAAAGTTCATCGAATGATAGGAGAATATGAAGCGTTTTATTCATTGTGAGGCGCCTGTGAAAACTGGGAAAATTGCACCGCAAGAGAAAAATATCAATTGAAAAATCTCGCATTCGAATTGAATGCGATCGGCACACACAATTCACCGTATAAATACACTGGGGAGTGTGTGTGCGCAAGCTCATCCACAGTAACGACAGAAAAAAAGTATTTCTTTTACCGTCGATCTGGTATTCGACTCTTGTACAGTTGAATGCGAGCGTGCGGGTGTGGCGAGGGGAAATGTTGTGTATATATTCCCATTCAACAAGAGGAAATTCATTGAGAGCGTGTATGATTTGGTTGGAGAATAGAAGCACGTTTGTTTTGGACTCGTTTCAAGGGCAATTCCTGATTTGTTGTCTCTCGAAACAGATTATGTGCTTAGCTTATTTGTTGATATTTTTTTTCTCTCATCGGTTTAACGTTGGAAAAGCGGGAACAACACACTATGCCCAGCACATAGTCTCTCAAGTCTCAACTTGTCGTTCACTGAAACTGAACGAACAGTTGCTCGGTCTGGTCGTTTGGTGTTCAGGCCGGTTTGCGATCGCCCATTTGAACTGAGCAGCATTTTATCTATTTGCATCCCAGTACGGATCCCCATACTCAACTCAAACGACCATAATTTTCGTCTTCTCATTTTATTACTCTCCATTGGAATATATTCCTACTCTCCGAACAATCGCAAACGAATCGTTTCATTTCATTTTGTTAAATCATCTAAACAAAACAGATAAAAATTACGATGATAAAAAAATAAAATGCAAAGAAGGGAGAGAGAGAAAAAATTGTACATTCTAAGCAAAGCGGTTTTGCCGTTTGATTTTAGCATTTGTATACGTACAGACAGAGCCAGCCTGTATCATGATTTACCGTCTAATTATTAGGCGACTTTGATTACTGTCTTATGCTAATGATCAATATGTGTGCATACTGATTTTCCGTTGTATCACTTTATTACGGTTCAATATTGACACCATCACAATGATAAAATCGATTGACTAGGCATTAATGCATGAATCAATAGATTTCCCTTCGATTATATTTTCAGAATTTATTAAACGTTTCTCATTGATATTCGATTCCATAATAACAATTTTTATTTTTAATCTGCGTCGTCGTGCTACGGCTAGCTGCCCTCTGCTGCATTTTTCCTCTATTTAAACGAGCGTACGAACAAGACAGACAGACACAGCAGCAAGCACAGCAGTAGCAACAGCGTTTGCACAAATTACAGGCTGTATAAATAGAAGGCAGTTAAAAATGTATCGTTGGCGAATGGAGCGCGCGCGCACGCGTCCGAGTGCGATACATCAACCATATGACATCGATTGAGTGAAGGAGTCAACGATGCGTATATGATGATGGATTCGCTTGTTTTTTTCTTTCTTCTAGCCAAACGTGTTTTTACATAGGCATGCACTAACTATAGATAAGCCATAGATGAATACTAAGCCCATCACAAGCGTAATCACCATGTTTTTGGCGCTTCCTTATTCTGTCATTGGCTGTTACATCTTGGTACGATGCCAATTATCATGGCGTGATGAAAACAGAACAGAACAAAACGAAATATCAAACCCAAAACCAAACCCACAGCACGCAAACAATTTTCAATTGCTAACTGTTTATTGTCGATGCAATCGATTGATGTGAACATGTTCACATAAATTGATGCGAGTACATCAATCTATTTGGGTTGTTTCACTTTGATGACATTTCCACAAAACATTGATTCATCGAAATAATTTTCATCATCGTTAATTGCACACATAGTACCCATGTATAGTATTGTGGCGAGAAGTGTACTTCCCTCATGCACGGATGAGTGTCGATTTTTCGATTCTTGACAGCGATTGCGCTTCTGCTTCTACTTCGATGACTCTTCCAATTGATTCACGTGTAAAGTCGGTATCGTTGCGAGCTAAAGTATAATATATTGCTTTTTGATTACCTGAGCACTTCATTAAGGCAGCAATATGTTTTAAGATCGTTGCACAATTTCAATAACAGATTCACTTTGATATCAACGGCACGTTGCTTTGACAAGAGCTCCTCCATCAATGCAATTTGTCGCTTAATTTGTTTAGTTTGCTTTGTGTTGGTGTTGTTATCATTCAGGGCTACGAATAGATCAGACAAAATATATTCTTTGTCTTGAAAATATTTGAGCAATGCAATAACAGTGACAATAAATGACCCGGCCAGCAATTTGCACATAACGTTTGAGTGGTTGAAAATGTGAATGCAACGCAGAACAGCAGCCAATTTTAAAAGTCTTGAGCGAAATACATACATCTAAACATCAAAAGGTACTGCAAATGAAAAACGAGCAAGTGTTTGGCACGTGCAAGTAATTAACATTACGTTTTCCTTTCATTTGAGTCAGAATTTTAAATTTTTCTCTTTCCCTCTCTCTCTCTCTCTCTCTTCATCAGCTTGTTTTATTCTTAAACCCTAGGTATGGCTATTCTTGGCTTGACACTTACATAAATACATGGCAATGTAAACGATGTTGTGGAATAACTGCTGTCTCATTGTGCTGAATAAATTTCAGACTTGATTATAAACAATGCATTCGACTATTTAGATGAATTTGCAACGATCATAATGACATATGTACAACATCTTAATTACAAACTTTTTTCTTTCCTCTACCCAATGGTGTTGACAAATAGTATGTTTCTTTTAAGTTACTCATTTCATATATGCAACGGTTAGGCATTCATGTGCTCCACAAATAACAAGACCATTTAACATTTTCCACAAATAGAACCACATATTTGGGTCCGTTCTTCATTTTGACGAGAAGTTCGTTACCTACTTTATCGCATGCCAACCATCGTGATTTAATTGTATTCGGTTTACATGTTCTGTTCATATGCGCCGTGTTATTGCCCGCTCACCGGTTTATTATTATATTAATTTTTGTAGTTTTGCATTAAAAGAGAACGCTTACAACCCAATACCGAAAGTAATGATAGTCCAGATCTAAATCACGTTCACTGAACTTTACTTTGTGAAGTAGCCGCGCTAAAACTGGTCATATTCTTTCCATATTACTGACTATTCATATTCGTGTCCACTTGAAATGTCATTTTGAAAATGACTGACTTGATAATAGCAGTGTCGTATTTTGTTGTATGCATACAATTACTAAAATAAATCCGATATACTTGAATGACTTACTAGCTCTGAACTATCCGTTGAATTATATTATTATTATAATCATTATTCATATGAATTTTGATATTTTGTGGTTAATATTGTGTTGTGTGTCGCGATTTCTGCCACAATTACGTTTGAAATGTATTCAAAATGCCACTATAAAATGATGGCACTTCGCAAAAAAATATACACAATTCAAAATTCAATAGAGCACATTCGGTTGCTCTTCATACTATTGATTTTTCATTGGCACATTTGCAAAAGTGTGCTTCAAAATACACTTTCCGTTCAAACGGAAGCCACACAGCAGCTTTGTTTAGTGCAACAACAAATGTTAGATACACAAGTGTTGTTCTTGGAACTGTAATCATTTGTGTACGAAATAATTATGCGAGTTGAAAAGCGTCTGGCAAGAGAATTTTGCCATGGTTACAGTCACAAATGCCAAACAAAATTAATGAATATTGCAAAGAACCACAACAAATTCACTTGTAAAAAAAATGAGGTTCACTTGAAATGTCTGACAAAAAAAAAATTATGAGATTGCCCCATTTTAATGGAAGAGACAAAATCATACACCCATTTGATATTTATGTCAAAGCAAAATCTGTCTCATTTTAAACCATCAACTCATGCGGGCGGTAAAAGTTTGTCTGCCATCGCAATTCAATAAACATATCGAGAAAAAAGACGAATGCACGGATCGACCATTTGTGGCTGAGAAGAAAACTTTTGTTGTGCATATTTTATTTGAATTGCAGTTTCATCATTTATGTTTTGAATGATTTATTTATGCCGTATCATTGTATTATGGTAAAAGTTGTGCAAGCACCAGAACATCCGTAGATCATGGTGTTTTTGGATAAGTTTTTCTGAAATTTTTTCTCATTTCAACTTAAATACTTGGAAATGCAGCTAATTTTTCATCCTGTACATGCATCCTCCTACATGTCCCAAGGAACAATTGTTAACGCAAATACATCCATTACCAAGCGTATGTAAACGGTTGAATTTGGGCCCGCATTTGGGTGTAGTTTCAGTCATTTTTAACGTCACAATGGAAGTAGAAAAAGAGCAGTAAAAACAAATCAATTAGAATGATATAAAAACGATTATGAATCAATATTCAATATGCTAATAAATAGTGATACTCACCTACAGGAATTATCCTGTACTCTACCTACATCTATATAGACTATAGAATATAGATAGCCATCGATATCTGGTATCGATGATGTCTGGGAGACTAAGACCTCAACCAACTACAAATAACATACTGTTACATAAATTCTTTTGAAAAATAAAACATAAATTGCGGCTCCATTGATATTAATGAATGTTGAAGTTGACTCGGAATCGAGTTGGATACACGAGGTGTTGACGTGTGAACGCATCATGCAGCCGATGTCCAAAGAGTTCGCAATGCCCTGAAACAAAGAGAAAAAAAACACACACACATTACTATTGCATCAATTTTAATTCAATGAGTAACATACCTCTGTACAAGATCAATTTTGCAGCCGAAATGTCACGTTGCCAAACTGTCTTCAGTACTGGAGAGTCGTCAACAGGGTCTTCGGGCACATATTCATCTGTGTACTCGATGATACCGAGTTCAGCGTCGTGAATGATTACACCTCTGCGCTCTTCAACATTGTCATCCATACCGTTTGCCGCGTTTTGTTGCCAGTTTTTACGGTAGCAAATCACCTTAGACACAAAACCACGGGGTTGATTTGGATTCTGCACTGCTGCTTGTCGCATCGCTCGTCGCTCTGATCGTAACTTCCGCTTGCTCTTTGCCGCTACAATTTTCTCTGGTAGCTTCATTCCATCAGGCCAATCATCTTGATCGGGCATACACCATTCACACACCTTGACACGATCGTTCAATGTACTCAATGGAAATGGTTCGAAACATCTGGCACACAATCGTGATGATCTGGCTTCGTTCACAAATCGTATGACATTGCCTTCCATTTTCTTGAAACTCTTCACCAATTTCCGCACGCCCGGGCATCGAACGTGTTTCTTGATCTGTATTGGTGAATTTGCAGGTGGTTGGGAAGCTCCAATGTTAATGATGCATCGTTTGCGATTTGTCTGTTGAGCAACAACAAAAACATTCAATTTTTTCAAAAGAAACAAAAATTCAATCGTAAATTCTTACCAGCATTGCGGCCACCTTGTCACTGACACGATTGGACTCGATGTAATGATCAAAACTTAAACGTGTGTACTTTTTGGTTGTGTACACTGCAATGGCTTTCTTCATGATGGTCAATCGATGCTGTATGTAGTCACGCCAATTGCTTCCTTTTGGTGATGGCATTCG